CCGCCACAGCTGGCGCCGCAGCAGCAGCGGCAGGCGGGCGAGCGCGGAGGGCGGCGGCGGCGGCGCGGGCGGCGCGCTGGGGGGTGGGGGCGGGCGGCCAAGGGGCGGGGGCTCCCAAGACATGTAAGCTGCGCCCTCGAGACCCTTCGTCTCAACCTGTGGTGACGGGTGCAGGAAAGCTGCACGGCTACGTTGTGCCGCATGACCCGGTGGGTACCAGAGGCCCCACAGGGCTGATTGAGCATGCTGGGAGGGCAAGCCTCGCCCCTCGAGCCAGCCGGGCGTGCTGCTTGCTTGCTGCAATTCTGCGTGCCAACCGCACCACTCCCAAGCTATGCGATCCATTGGGTGCTCACCCATGCTGTCAGTGGGCCGGGGGATCTGGGACTCCTGATGAGGTTGGAATGTACTGCCAGGTACAGCTGCAGCTGCCTCAGGCTCTTGGTGTGAAGCCACGAAAGTTCTGAAGGGAGGCGCCCGAGCGCGGCGGCGGCGATCCCGATGCGCCACAGCCGACAGACCGCGGCTGCGGCAGGGAGGGCCTCCCCGTGGAGCTGCGAGAATATATGGACGAGCAGGTCGTGTGGTATACCGTCGAATAGGATGGTACAAGGCTGACCCTGATTCGGGAGCTGGTCCAGATGGGACTTGAGCGCGGCCGCGAACGAGCCCTTGGATGGTGTAAAGTGCTCCTCATTGGCTGGTCGCGCCCGACCCTGGGCTGCTGTCCAGGGCATCTGCTGCGCACTTGCGTGTCCTGTCTCTGGGTCTCTGAGTTCTGTGCGTGTTGCAAACGAAAATGTATGTGAAGATTACAAGCACGCGATTCATGAGATTAGCATGGCTGCAGCGAATCCCATCCACCATCCCTGCTGTGCTCCGCCATCACCCTGCTGCTGTGCCTGCTGGGCACCTGGGAGCTGTTGCGACATGCGTTGAGGCCAGCTCACCGGCTGAAGGGACAGCACGCCACACCCACGCGCTGCGCAGTCCTCTGGTTGCGGCCCACCGACTGCGACGGCTCTCTGGTAAAAATTGCGGCGCGGCACGTGTGCGCCCCTGGTTGTACATCGTTGAGGTGTGTCGTCCCAATGGAGTGATGCGCGTTGGTGCTCTGGCTGACCACGCCGCCAGGGCCGCCAGGGTTGTATGGGTCCAAACAACTTGTGAATGCCTTCCATGATGCCCCGTGTGGATGCAGCACATGACAAGCTGTGCTGCCTGGTGTGTGCGTTTGACCACCACCGACACCAGGACGGCCAGGCCACAGCTGCTCAGCTGTGCTGCACACGTCGTGTGCTTTTATTTCATGGCATGGCATGGCAATGCCACAAACAAATAATGAGCTGCGATGGGTTGTTCAGCCTGGGGCAGCGATGTCAGGCTCGCTGCACTGGGCTACCACTGCGTTGCAAGTCGATGAAAACCATAGCTGCGCCACGGGCGCGGCGAGGGAACCCACACAGGCATGCATGTAAGGTGGCCAAGGTGTGAGGGTGATCCCAGAAAATTAACACTGTCAGTCGATCACTCTTCAAGGGACAGGCAGTGTCTGCATGACTACAGATGGCGAAAGGTTTGGTCAACAACATATCGATGAACTCCCCACATTGCTGCACCTGGGCGCGAGTGCTGACGTGGTTGCCCATAGAAGTCCTCACCCATGTGCCTTTGCGTAGAGCTCTTCGGTACACAGGTCCTGGCCGCGCAACGAGGGCGGGGATGCCACGACGAGCCTGCCCTTCAATGCTTTATTTTTGTTACCCACGCAGCTGCCTGGCAGGACCCTTCATACGAGTACAGTAGCTTGCAGGGAGTAATCCTGTGATGTGTGGAAGCTTCGTCGTGTTATTTTAGATCCAGGCTCGGGCTGTGCTACTTCGGGCGTGTGGCGTGGAGTTGCAGCCACAAGCAACCACAAACCTTCGAGACCTCGGCGGTTCAGAGCTCATTGTCCACGTGGTCGCGTTCACATTATCAGCGGCTGCATCGAAACACAAAAGTAGCATCCTCTGCGCGAATAACTCAACTTTGCACGTACCCTTTCCGCCACGGGCACCGCGAGGGTCGAGCCCACGCAATAGTGCCGTAATTACACAGAGGTCTATCTGGAGTGGCTCGCAAGGCGCAAAAGCAGACAGGATGAAGACGCTTGGGGAGAGCAGGAGATGTGGCCTCCATGGGAGGGCTGCCTGTCCGCGCAGGACCCGTTATACACAATTCGTGAAAAGGCGCACATGCGCGCTTGAAGGCTGGGTGAGTGCGCCCTCCCCCCGGGAGACGCGCAGCCTTGGCTCGCTGCCGCACGCGCGACGCTGCCGACGCACCCAGCCATTCGGGCACCCCTTAGGCGTGCCGTCGCATCCTTTTGGAGCCATCCCGCTGCTGCTTGCATGCCGCGCCTGGCACAGGGCAGTGCCCCCCAAACTGCCATCATCCTGTCACGCCGGGCACGCGCGTCACCCTCTCCCGCACCCTCCTCGCGCCCCCTGCTGCATCGCAGGGCTTTGGCAGCAGCAGTAGCGGGCAGCCGGGAGTGAACGTGGGCGACCAAGCCCCCCCATCTGTCATTCCCGCCGCCGCCGACGCCGCGGCCCCGCCGCTCGCCGCCTCTGCGCCGGCGCCGCCGCAGCCCGCCGCGCCCGCCCCCGCACCCGAGCGGCACGCGCATGCCCCCGTGCCGGGCGCCGCTGCGGCCGCTGCGGACGGCGGCTGGGGGCAGTGGGTCGAGTTTTTCCAGCAAATGGACTCTGACGCAAAGTCGACTGAAGCGGTACGCGCCCAGCTGGCAGCGGCGGTTGCCGCAGAGCAGTACGACGCAGCCGCCCGCCTCAAGCTGGAAGCTTCCGCCCTCGCCTCCGGCGACGCCGCGGCCGCGCTGACATCAGCGCTGACGTCAGCGCTCGCGGCCGAGGACTACCC